TATATATATATAAACAATATTTTTATTAAAAAAAGTTTTATTGCATTGATAATATAAAATTTAATAATTGTTTTTAATTAATCCCAGATAATTATATATAAAAAATTTTGTATCCTAATCCTAATTCGCAGATATATATTTTTATTGTAAAATTCAAGGGAAAAAAATATATATCTGCGAGTTAGGATTAGGATATGAAATTTTTTATGGATCTTACGATATATTATAAAATTAAAATATACAATACATTTTTCTTTTTTTCCGCATATAATTTTTAAATAATTCCACAAGATACTCACTTAAAAATAAACTCCGAAGAATTCAACGAAGAATAGAAAGGTCTCTTATACAATAATATTTTAAGAATATCACAAACACAATCACAGTATGAAACCAGCAAGTCGTGTTGGTATCACTCTAAATCGGCGATCGCCGAGATTGTCTCAAAGTACCAGCTTAGAGAGACTAATCTAATTATTATCCACAAAAATGTCAAGATTCAGAAGTGTATTGTCCGGAATTTCACGAACAATTTAATCACCGTTGAAACTTGATAATGTAATCGATATATAGATAAGAGCCACGGTCGAGATGTTGTGGTTGCCGCGAGTTCCAGCTCCGGAATAAATAAATTCCTGACGAAATCGGCATATATACCGTCGATATAAGCGCGACCACTCGGTAGGATCGGCAACGGCATTTCGTTCTTGAACGGTTCCGAACATTCGTGACAAGAAAGTCTGTTTAGTCGGCTTCTGACCGCCGAGCTGATCGGAACTGATCAGTTGGTGACGATAAGCGAGGAGAAGAAGAAAAGGAAGAGAAAGAAATTTAATGCATTCAGAAAAATCCTTTTAATAAATAATAATGTAGTAATAAAACAAAACTCAATTAGATAAAATAATTAAAAAACAGTAAAAAAGTAAAATAGGAAGAAAAAACAGAAAGAAAGAATTTTATTGATTCCTAATCAAGAAAAAATAAAGTTTTTTTTTTAGCAAAAATAAAGAAATATAAATTTAAATAAATTGAAATAAAATTAAATTAATAATATTGAATAATATTGAAATTTAAAAATAATTAATCAAAAATGGTAATAAAAAAATTAGAAAAAGAGGAACAATTAGGAAGAGAGGCCAAATATACATATATTGTTTTATAAGAAAAATTCTAGTATTCTTCAAAAAGTATCATTATTTAATACATCTGTACATGGAACATTGGACAGATGAAAAAGATAATAATTGACGTCAATTATATGTTACTTGAGGAGATAACATCGCGATATCGCGATAAAATGATGAGCGTGCTAAAAATATGTTGCACATAACTGTATAAAGTATAAATACATATATAACGTAAATAACAAATAAGAAATAAAACCCGTCTTATTTTACGAAATTCGAAAGTTATTTCTTAAGATCAAAAAACTTTGTGGAGCTACTTGTGCAGCGAAGTGAACATTCCAAATAATTACTGAATCTATAACAATTTGCTGAATGCTGAATATTTTTATAATCATTCAATCACATTAGTGATGATGGAGCAATATCAATAATGGCATTGTGATCACATGGTATCGCTGATTCAATGATATTTTCTAGAGGAAAAAAGGGTCATGGTTCACCAAAAACCTTCGATGCGCGTAACATTGTATGCATAATACTCGAATAAATCCAATTAAATTCTGTAAGCATAGAGCAACATCTCTTCATGCCCTTGTGCGGCACATTATAAAAAAAGAAGACATGTTATTCGCTGATCGAAAAGATTGATAAAATTAATCGAGAGACATTTTTAAATTGTTACAGTAAAACATTTTTTCGTTTCTAACAAATACCTGTTTCTAATTTTTAACTTAAAGAACAATCTTTTAGAAGAAGAAACAATGTATGTAATCGCACGACATATTTCTGACGTCATTGATAACCGGGTTATCCTTCCTTTGTTGAGTAATATCAGACCGAGCCTCCAAAAGTGATGCAATATTTGTTAAGCAATTAATTTATGAAACACTTTATATCAATCTTTGTAGATTTATTAAGATTAATTTTTAATAATTCTTAGCGTATGCGTGTGTATTTAATTATTTAAAATTTTGATATATAAATTAAATAAAATTCTGAATTAATAAACATATTATCGGAAATCGATAAAAATCTGATCAATTAAATCATAAATCTTGATTATATTTTAATTTGAGTTAGATACATAAAAGTCCAACCTGTCTAAGTATTTCCGACGAGATTAATGAAATGGATAGATAATCGATGTGCATGAGCTCAAGATAAGATTTTAATTAAAAAGCTTGATAAGCATTTTCGTGTTAGTCCTCTGATATCATATACGCTACATATTTCTGTGCTTTTACAAATTGATATCAAAAATGTTAGTTAGAAATTAACACATTGCACAATATGTTTTTTGTGATGTAAAGATTGCGTCGATAATTGGAATGAAATAATTGAGCAAGCATAATGAATGTTTAACATTGTTCGAAGCAACATGCATATTAAAACTTGTTTTATAAGATTGCGCGTTGCATAAGATTGATATAATATATAATTATGTCTTTAATTAATAAATACATGAGACAAATTCATTTTTATTACAAGTTTATAGAAATCATAAGAAGTACAATATTTAAGAAAGTAAAAACAGATATCTTGCAAATTGCTTTCATTTACAGAAAATTTCTTATTCAGTACTTAAAAAAATTAATGTATAATAAATAAAACCAATCTGTCAAACATTTCCTATTATTTAAAATAAATTTAATTTATAAAATTGAGATATTCAATTCGGCAAATATTTTACATTTAAAAATGATTAAAATTCTTCCACTTTTTCTATATTATTTTAGTTCTCGATTTATATTGTTGAAAAATTTAAATTAAATTAATAAATAAAAATAAAGAAGAAGGAAAAGTCTAGCAGCTTATAAATTAGTTTGTAATTTCTAGATAAAATCTGCTAATATATATATTTAATTAAAATATCATATAGTAATATTAATCTGATTATTCAAACAAGCAAACTATCCTCCACATTCAATTGTGATTATAATATAAATCTATCAAGTTTTAATTATTCATCTGTTTTTATCATTATGGTGAGAAAACTTTCAGAAATAATTTTGCAAGATCAGTTAATTTACTTATTAATTCTTCAGTAATATTTTTGTTATGAATAAGAATAAATATTTTATCGCTCTGTTTATGTCAACTGATGTGCTCTCGCAGGAAGTGGCAAGACTGTGTCTCCCACCGTCAAAGATCCTTGACTGAAAACCTGCGTTTCCGCGGATATTCCTCTAGGTGAAGTTGTCACACGGCTGTTTCGCATCCTGCTGATCGGCTGACGTCCTCGGATCATATTATACCATCCCCTTTGACGTTTCGCGAGGGGGCTTCTGATGTCCAGTGCGATCAATTCTTCCTTCGAGGATGCTTCCGTGACCTCTCGGGCCCGTTTGCCAGGACGAACTTGACTGTTGTTGACGTCACTGAATGATTCTTGCGAAAATTCCTCGATAGTTTCTTGTTGTCGAATTTCTTTGGCTGTCTTAATGCTCATTGTTGGAATTCTAAAGCTCGAAACTAAAATTCAAAAAAATATAGTTAGAGATATAAATATAAAATTTTTCTGTTTGAATAAATACTGTTTGAATAAATAATTAAAATTTTTACCAGAGAAATTTCTTAATGCGTGCTTCATAGCATGCGCGATGATTGACAGAAATCCACCACTGTTAGTATTTTCTCTGTTTTGTATGGACGACGCGATCTGTCTTGAATTCGTCATCATTGCGCTGCTCGGAGAATAGCTCTTGACACTCGAGACACTCATTTTCATTTTTGTAATAGACTTTCTGCACAAATTAGGGGTACTCGAAGGCTCAATCGTATTCGAAGATGATTGACCATTCACTGACAGCTGCTCCTGCATCTTCTTCAAACCTGAACTAATCAGAGGCATCAGATCACTGGTCAATCCTTTCGAGTTGCTTTGCATTAGCATCACCATTACCACTGTGTTAGAATCTCCTTGATTTACAGTTGATAAGCTAATATTGCTTTCTTTAGGATTGCACTTTTCCTTTTCTATGCTCTTCGCATTATTTTGGATGACTTCAATGGGCGAATCGTTTAAAAACTTCTTTCTTATTAAAGAGCATTTTGTATCTTTCACGACTTTCGTGTCTTCTGTGATCTTTGTATCCACTGTGTCTTTTGTGTCTTTCATATTTTTCGTAGTGTTTGCTTTTTGCGCATTTGTTACATCATGAGCATCTCCCTCTTCCTCCGTTGATGTATTCAGAATATCCCGCATATAGGACTCTATCAGATCTTCGATCCCCACGGCGGTTTCGTAATGATCGGAGAACCTCACCTTCTTCATGACGTTTTCACGGATGTCATCTAATTTCGGTGAGTCCTGCAGAATGTTTTCTGTAGGCATCGTCAAGTTCATATCTGAAGACGACACCTTGTTTGCATTCGCAGTTATCTTCTCGGTTTCGTTATCCGTGGTCTCCTTCTGCTCCTTCATAATGTTCAACTTCCTGCCCGAGTTAGTTCTAGAAAACTGTTCGTTCTTAGCAGTCCTAAAGGGCGTTGTTTCTCCGTTTGAGATGTTCTGCAAGAAGCTGAAGAACTGCGTGTCCTGATTATTGCTCTTCGAGATCACGTCACTCTGTATGATCGGCGGCGTTTTCAGGCTAAAATCCGGCACGCAGAGCGTCTCGAAATCGACCTTCTGCCCGACGAACATCGGTGTGCTGGTCTTCCGATAAATTTCCGGCGGTGTGGAAAACCTGCTACCGTTGTAGTCGCTTCCGCTAGAACACTTCGGTTTCTTCTGGAGAAGCTCGTGATTGTTCGGCGATGTCAAACAATGCCAGCGTTCAAACCACTTGCACGCAGCTGAAGTTTCATTAAAAATCATGGAGTTAACATATTTAGTTAAAAAATATCCGACATTAAGCATCACATAGAA